TTAGGACCTGCCCGAGAAGCCTTTAAAGATCCCTCCACATAGTTGTTTACATTTTGGCCAAGTGAATAATACTTTTTAATGAAACAGCTGTTCATTTTTCAATTGTATTTCAAACAACACATATTTATTGGGCGTTACTGAATTCTTTCTACCAAATAAGTATTTGCAATGTTATTTTCAGATTTTAAAATGGATTTTCTTCTTTATCATGTCATGTTTTGCAATATAACGTTACATTACAAAATCAGTGGAAAATCCTTTTATCACAGCAATTCTTAAATTATTTCTTATTGAACTATCTTATATCTATTGTATGGGTTGATGTCTGCCTTTTTCACCACTTTTGCCTACATTTTATCATATTATTCTAGACACATCAAATATTTATGTAGAAATATCTGCTCTTACCGTGTCTCATAAAATCCAAACATAGAAACCTTGCCTAAAATGGTACCCATCTTGACAAATTATTTGCACCTGCCTATATTACGGACTTTGGCGCACTGGGTTGGTAACATTATTGAAAATAACATTTTGGCTGTAAAATATTGTACAAAGAGAAAATATTGTTTTAGCAGCTACTGTCATGACAGAAAGGTCATATTCCTTTTAAATTAGATGACATAATCCTTTATAAAATACGTTGATTAACAATATGTAAACGTCAATATAGGTATATGTAACAGCCAAATTTACAGTATTTTTGCTTTTTGGAAATGTCCTATTGCTATGTCATTTGCATTATTTGTTGCCAATGAAGCCGCCAAGACCATATAAACTAGGAGGCCATTAACAGTTCAAGAATAAAATACAACTTCACTTCAAGTATTCCACTACCGGTACACCTAACATTCCGTAGAGAGATTGTATTGACAACTTTATGTTATTGATAAGGCTGAGAAAACTAACTGACATCCCCCATGTTAAGGAATTCCAGCTTTAACAGTAACCCCACAATCAATTTCTCAAAACTATGCTAGAGGGTTCATTCATTGGCACAGAAGTACGATATGAACTGACGCGACGTGACAAAGGAAAAATCAAACTTACACTGTAACACTGTAACGGATATACCTCCCTTAGAAGTTAGAATATGTCTTCCCAAAAAAATATTTTCTTTTCAAATAAAATCATATTACACTGATGAAATCACGGAAGTGTTTAACTACAAAAGATCCACCAATACGATTTTAATACTATTTAAAGGTTCTTCCAAAGGAAGAGATACCATATAACATACTAATAATAACTTCGTTTACGTACAGTATAGGAATGATTTGAATCGTTGGAAGATCAAAAAAATTTGACAACTAAAAACTTATATATTTATACATCTAATGAAAAAACAAAAAAACATTGTTTATCCACTGGCAATTAAGTAAAATATTCTATTTTTACTTTTGTTATACACTTTTATTATTCATCGTAAAGAACAAATTACCATTTAAAATACCTAATAGTTGTTAAGCGCAGCAACGCGCGCGGGGTAACTGCTAGTATTGAATAAAATGAAAACTTTTAAACTACAATATAGAAAAGATTTAAAGGAAGCAAAAATTAAAAACAATGAAGAATGTATTTGAAAAATCTACAAATAAATGCAAGGTAGCTTGGACTCTAATAAATAAATCTACAGGAAGATCCAAGAGAACTAGTGAACACCAGATTGATCCTGATGACTTCAATGAATACTGCACAGCTTCGGTACAGGAGATAAGTGACAGAGTGAGTGCATCAGTGAATGAAGCTCTGGAATATCTGAAGCAACTTACCCTGTGATAAACCTAACTTCTTTTTGGCAGAGGTGACTGAGTGAGAAGTCCGCAATGTCATTCACACTTTGAATAGCTCCAATTCCAGGGATGTCTACGGTCTGTCAAGTGCGGTGATTAAGAGAAGCATAGAGCAAGTCTTAATCCCTTCAACTCATTGTATTTAATTGTTTATCCAAGATGGTAAATTTCCCACATACAGTAGAACCTCTTTAATCCGAACCCCCGTAATCCGAACGTCCACTAATCCGAACCCCTCATTGCTGTACTCTATACACAGTACAGCAGTTCTTTATTGTACACTGTATTTAATGTACAGTACTGTTTATTCACCATGTTTACTACTGTATTAAATAAACACTGTATTTTAATTTATAAAACATTTTTTTCACTTTTCCCAAAATAATTTAGATCAATTTTAGCCATGTTTTAGCTATTGTTATGTAAAAACAACAATATGTTCTATAATCCGAACTATTCACTAGTCCGAACTACCCCTGGTCCCAATTAGTTCGGATTAAAGAGGTTCTACTGTACTTACAATTTTCAAGGGTGGTTCCGAAAAACAAGAAGGGTGATCAAAAGGAGGCTATGAGTTATCGGCCGATTTCTTGCATACAAGTCATGGAAAAAATTGTGGAAAAAATCCTGAAAAAGCAGGTATTATTTTGAAATTATAGAAATTAACAATTTGTCAATGAGAGTCATTTTGAAAATCAAAGTGGGAGATCCACCACTCAAGCTGTAGACAATATTGTAAATAAACTTTTGTATAGCTTAGAAAACAACTGCTTTGTTCAGGTCACACTTTGTGACCTGATTAAGGCATTTGATTTTGTTAGGCATGGCATTTTAATTGAAAAATGGAAATTTTATGGTTTCAAAGATAATGCCATAAGCATGTTTCAGTCATACCTTAAAGACAGATGTCACATTGTTGAGGTTAATTGAAAGAGATAAAAAACAGCATGGTCAAAGGTCGGGGTACCGCAGGGTTTGGTTATGGGTCCCATTTTGTATATATTTTAATTAATGACATAAATTTCAATTTAGGTTTTAAGTCAACAATTTACGCTGATGACACCTCTTTACTTGTTAGCCATAGAGATTTAGATTGGATGGAAAATGTTGCCAATTCTGTTTTTAAAGGTGCTGAGGAATGGTTTACAATAATAAATGGATTATTTTTAAATCCTCAAAAAACACAAAGACTATTACAGTAGACTTCCTCTTATCCGGACTCCTCGGGACCAAGGACAGTCCGGATAACGGGTTTTCCGGTTAAACCGACGTCCCCAAAAACTTGTTATGTAACCCAAATATTTGACTTAAATTTAGGAGAGCATTGTATTTAGACATGATCACTGGTCTCAAATCTTTCCCTCGAGAACAGTCGTTTCAGTACCGCCCACTTCTTGCCGATCTAGTCCAGTTAAACCGATGTCTGATAAAAATTGTCCGGTTAAAGAGATGTCATTTCCGCCTAGTGTAGTCCGGTTAAATTGATGTTCCGTTAAAAGGTGTCCGGGTAAGAGGGAGTCTACTAAGTAACACCTAAAAAGTAACACCTAAGTAACCTTGAAAAAGATTCACGAAAACCATCAATTTGTTCATGAATATGAAAATGTTGTAACATTATTTGGTATAAAATTAGACTGTAAGCTGTCATGGCTTGAGCATATCAATTTTATAAATACAAAATTGTCTAGGGTTGTACATTTGTTAATAAATCTAAAAAGACATGTTTCCTGTAGGCCTAAATACTTGAAAATAGCATATTTTGCTTTTTTTGAAAGTGTTATCAGGTATGGTTTGATAATCTAGGGTAACGGAGTTGTAATTGAAAGAATTTTAATCAAACAAAAACAAAAGCTGTTAAGAGTTTTGACGGACTTAGAAAAGTTAGCCCACTGTAGTCCACTTTTTGTCATATTGGGGATCCTAACTATTGTAAACTTGTATTTAGAGGTATTAATGTTTGTCAAGATTAATTAAAATATGTTTTCTGTCAGAGAAAAAATACATGATCATGGGACCAGATTTAGGTAGAAATTAGATCAACCAAGGTTTAGGTTAAGTAAATCAATGAACTATCATGTTAATTCAGGTGTAACATTTTTCAAAAAGTTACCATTAACTTTTCAGATTTTGCCTCAGAAAGCATTTCATAATAATAGATTGTATAATTGGTTACAATTGAACCCATTTTATACATTGGATAAATTTTGAAATTAAGTCTTCTAGCCTAGCCTAATTTAAAATTTTGAACATTACATGATTTTTCTGTGATGTGTATCTCAATTTAATGTTGCTAATTTTAATTTATCAATGTGAATCATATGATGATGTCTATTGAATTTTTTTTTAAATTTTGTTGAATGACTACTAAATGTTTTATTTGTCTTATATTTAATTATTAAATGGTAATATGAAATACCCTTCTTTTATCTTGATATAGCTAGCAGTTCATATTTACTTGATTGCATTTTTATAAATTTACTATTTTCTGAATTAGCGTTAGCGGGTGTGGAACTATTTTATACAACAGATGTATGCTAAACAACAAAATGTTTCTAATTTGTGTCCTCTTCCCGTTGTTGTGCTGTTGTTGCAAAGCACGGGTAAACCTTTACTATAAATATCCGCAAATAGATTATAGAAAACCTATTCGACAATGTACAAACTTGAAGTTAATGTTCAAGGTTTTGTTTTTTTTTTTGTAGTAAACACACACTACAAGCTAAAACTAGCTTATGCCTATTCCTGTTCTCATTATTGTATTATTGGACAGAGCAGATTTTAATAATAGAAATAAATTGTTAACAAACAGTAGCACTCGTTTTGGCCAAAATGGAAAAGTGATTGAGAGTAAGGAAAAGTAAATATAGAGCAAGGAAAAATAAACTGATCAGTTTTCCCTTGCTTTTCTTTGGTATCAGAATCAGCTGTTATCGAAAATAGCTATTTTGTGTACAGAGTGATGAAATAGTAGTTTTTTTTCTCTTTGAAACTTAATTTTGAAAATATGTACCCACAGCTGCACATTTGAAGCTAAGACTTGATTCAAGTCCCAAGGGGACCGTACTAGAGAAAAAAAAAACATTGCCACAAATTGAGAACCTCCTCCTTTTGTTGGTAGTGGGGAAGTCGGTTAAAAGTAGGCCTATCTAACGCGTAACTTGCAGTTAAATACAAGCCAACTTTTGAACAATGTTCATCTGATTATAGTCAGGGTGCAAGGAATTTGTCACTGCCAGAGAACTTCAGCCCAGAAATGGTGCCAGAATCAGCCAAAGAGACTTGCCGTAACTGGTTCTACAAGATTGCCTCTATCCGGGAGCTGGTTCCAAGGCTGTATGTGGAAGCGGCCATTCTCCGGTGTTACAGCTTTCTGGACAAGGGGTTGGTTACACTTACAATTACAAACTAATTTAAATAACACATATGGTGGAGATTCAACACAAAATAATTGCTGGCAATAGAGTTTTTTTTTACTTGCACAATTAATTGCTGGTGTATAAAATGTCAACTGGTTAAACCAAAATTAATCTTTACAAATTAATTATTAGACCTTAGATCATATGTCAACTGTTAAGTTTGGCCCAGAAACACGGACAGTAACAAAAGATCTGCTGTATTTTCTTTTTAAGAAAAGTGTATGATCATTTTTTTTTCAAGTAATACCCCTGCCGCAGCAAACCTACAGACTAAGTGAATTTCCCGTTACATAGCTGAATTTCCACTAAAATATTACCTTCAAATTCTCAGATTTATTTCCTATTTAAACAACATTAATTTAAATAAGTAGGTACTTAGGTTTTCTGCAGGGAAGATAATGAGTTGTTTTTTATTGAAATGTTGATAGCTTAAAATGAAATAAACAAATTTGATTAAAATATCGATAAATAAGTAAACTACAACAGTTTCTGTTGACAGAGAGCTGGTCCAAGCTCTGCTTCGACTGACGAGGATGGTGCGTGGCATAGGAGACCCTCTAGTGGCTGTGTATGCTCGCTGTTATCTCTGTCGGGTTGGCATGACTGTGCACAACATAGAGAAGCAACTGCTCAAGGAGAACTTTTATGATTTTCTATCTTGTTATCATCAGGTAATCAATCATTGTTACACAGTTTATAACAACTACATATAATTCAAGAATAAAGGGCCTCAAATTAAAATTTTAGGGACTTTTGTTGTAAAGTTTTGTAATTACTCTTACACTTTTAGTAAAAAATTTTTCCATTACATATACTTTTTGTGAATTTAGCATTTACTATTAAAAACTGAAGTGAAATCCCATACATATGGTCCAACTGAAACTATTTTTTTTTTTTTTTTTTTTTTTTTTTAGATAATATATAGTTGAAGGCGCCACAAAGTGTAATTTTATAAAGATTATTTGCTCTCTCTTATTTTACAATGCTTTGATTAAATAAATATATAGGATGGAGAGGACACAGCTAACTCACCTGATGAAAGGTTGCAGACGATTCAAAGAACACATAAAACACACACATAATAAAACTTGATATTTCGGCCCTTTCAGAGGCTTCTTCGGAAGTCACTCTGTGTGGCCGGGAAATCGTCGCGCGGACGATCCGCCACGTGTGGCCCCGGCCTTAGACCAACCATGAAATTAGCAGTGTCCATCAGCAGGAGGTTAGGTCAGCAACTATCCTCGTGTTCATAATTTTATTTAGTACATTTTTTACTTTAACCTTTTTTTAGGTGAACAATCCATTACAAAAACACTTGTAAATATTTTTGAAAGACTCACACAACGCACTTTGTCTGTGGCTCAATTAAACTACCTGTTGTGTTGACAGGTGTTCAGTGGGAATGTCCAAGTTGATCTGTTACATCAGAAGTCATCAACACTCACACAACGCACTTTGTCTGTGGCTCAATTAAACTACCTGTTGTGTTAAAAGGTGTTCAGTGGGAACGCACACCCCTACATTCAACAGAAGTCATCAACACTCACACAACGCACTTTGTCTGTGGCTCAATTAAACTTTTATCCTGTAACTACCTGTTGTGTTAACAGGTGTGTGATGCATCGTACACCCCTACATTCAACAGAAGTCATCAACACTCACACAACGCACTTTGTCTGTGGCTCAATTAAACTTTTATCCTGTAACTACCTGTTGTGTTAACAGGTGTGTGATGCATCGCACACCCCTACATTCAAAAGAAGTGATCAACACTCACACAACGCACTTTGTCTGTGGCTCAATTAAACTACCTGTTGTGTTAACAGGTGTTCAGTGGGAATGTCCAAGTTGATCTGTTACATCAGAAGTCATCAACACTCACACAACGCACTTTGTCTGTGGCTCAATTAAACTACCTGTTGTGTTAACAGGTGTTCAGTGGGAATGTCCAAGTTGATCTGTTACATCAGAAGTCATCAACACTCACACAACGCACTTTGTCTGTGGCTCAATTAAACTACCTGTTGTGTTAACAGGTGTTCAGTGGGAATGTCCAAGTTGATCTGTTACATCAGAAGTCATCAACACTCACACAACGCACTTTGTCTGTGGCTCAATTAAACTACCTGTTGTGTTAACAGGTGTTCAGTGGGAATGTCCAAGTTGATCTGTTACATCAGAAGTCATCAACACTCACACAACGCACTTTGTCTGTGGCTCAATTAAACTACCTGTTGTGTTAACAGGTGTTCAGTGGGAATGTCCAAGTTGATCTGTTACATCAGAAGTGATCAACACTCACACAACGCACTTTGTCTGTGGCTCAATTAAACTTTTATCCTGTAACTACCTGTTGTGTTAACAGGTGTGTGATGCATCGCACACCCCTACATTCAACAGAAGTCATCAACACTCACACAACGCACTTTGTCTGTGGCTCAATTAAACTTTTATCCTGTAACTACCTGTTGTGTTAACAGGTGTGTGATGCATCGCACACCCCTACATTCAACAGAAGTCATCAACACTCACACAACGCACTTTGTCTGTGGCTCAATTAAACTTTTATCCTGTAACTACCTGTTGTGTTAACAGGTGTGTGATGCATCGCACACCCCTACATTCAACAGAAGTCATCAACACTCACACAACGCACTTTGTCTGTGGCTCAATTAAACTTTTATCCTGTAACTACCTGTTGTGTTAACAGGTGTGTGATGCATCGCACACCCCTACATTCAACAGAAGTCATCAACACTCAACACAACGCACTTTGTCTGTGGCTCAATTAAACTACCTGTTGTGATAACAGGTGTTCAGTGGGAATGTCCAAGTTGATCTGTTACATCAGAAGTCATCAACACTCACACAACGCACTTTGTCTGTGGCTCAATTAAACTACCTGTTGTGTTAACAGGTGTTCAGTGGGAACGCACACCCCTACATTCAACAGAAGTCATCAACACTCACACAACGCACTTTGTCTGTGGCTCAATTAAACTTTTATCCTGTAACTACCTGTTGTGTTAACAGGTGTGTGATGCATCGCACACCCCTACATTCAACAGAAGTGATCAACACTCACACAACGCACTTTGTCTGTGGCTCAATTAAACTACCTGTTGTGTTAACAGGTGTTCAGTGGGAATGTCCAAGTTGATCTGTTACATCAGAAGTCATCAACACTCACACAACGCACTTTGTCTGTGGCTCAATTAAACTACCTGTTGTGTTAACAGGTGTTCAGTGGGAATGTCCAAGTTGATCTGTTACATCAGAAGTCATCAACACTCACACAACGCACTTTGTCTGTGGCTCAATTAAACTACCTGTTGTGTTAACAGGTGTTCAGTGGGAATGTCCAAGTTGATCTGTTACATCAGAAGTCATCAACACTCACACAACGCACTTTGTCTGTGGCTCAATTAAACTACCTGTTGTGTTAACAGGTGTTCAGTGGGAATGTCCAAGTTGATCTGTTACATCAGAAGAGATCAACACTCACACAACGCACTTTGTCTGTGGCTCAATTAAACTTTTATCCTGTAACTACCTGTTGTGTTAACAGGTGTGTGATGCATCGCACACCCCTACATTCAACAGAAGTCATCAACACTCACACAACGCACTTTGTCTGTGGCTCAATTAAACTTTTATCCTGTAACTACCTGTTGTGTTAACAGGTGTGTGATACATCGCACACCCCTACATTCAACAGAAGTCATCAACACTCACACAACGCACTTTGTCTGTGGCTCAATTAAACTTTTATCCTGTAACTACCTGTTGTGTTAACAGGTGTGTGATGCATCGCACACCCCTACATTCAACAGAAGTCATCAACACTCACACAACGCACTTTGTCTGTGGCTCAATTAAACTTTTATCCTGTAACTACCTGTTGTGTTAACAGGTGTGTGATGCATCGCACACCCCTACATTCAACAGAAGTCATCAACACTCAACACAACGCACTTTGTCTGTGGCTCAATTAAACTACCTGTTGTGTTAACAGGTGTTCAGTGGGAATGTCCAAGTTGATCTGTTACATCAGAAGTCATCAACACTCACACAACGCACTTTGTCTGTGGCTCAATTAAACTACCTGTTGTGTTAACAGGTGTTCAGTGGGAATGTCCAAGTTGATCTGTTACATCAGAAGTCATCAACACTCACACAACGCACTTTGTCTGTGGCTCAATTAAACTACCTGTTGTGTTAACAGGTGTTCAGTGGGAATGTCCAAGTTGATCTGTTACATCAGAAGTCATCAACACTCACACAACGCACTTTGTCTGTGGCTCAATTAAACTACCTGTTGTGTTAACAGGTGTTCAGTGGGAATGTCCAAGTTGATCTGTTACATCAGAAGTCATCAACACTCACACAACGCACTTTGTCTGTGGCTCAATTAAACTACCTGTTGTGTTAACAGGTGTTCAGTGGGAATGTCCAAGTTGATCTGTTACATCAGAAGTGATCAACACTCACACAACGCACTTTGTCTGTGGCTCAATTAAACTTTTATCCTGTAACTACCTGTTGTGTTAACAGGTGTGTGATGCATCGCACACCCCTACATTCAACAGAAGTCATCAACACTCACACAACGCACTTTGTCTGTGGCTCAATTAAACTTTTATCCTGTAACTACCTGTTGTGTTAACAGGTGTGTGATGCATCGCACACCCCTACATTCAACAGAAGTCATCAACACTCACACAACGCACTTTGTCTGTGGCTCAATTAAACTTTTATCCTGTAACTACCTGTTGTGTTAACAGGTGTGTGATGCATCGCACACCCCTACATTCAACAGAAGTCATCAACACTCACACAACGCACTTTGTCTGTGGCTCAATTAAACTTTTATCCTGTAACTACCTGTTGTGTTAACAGGTGTGTGATGCATCGCACACCCCTACATTCAACAGAAGTCATCAACACTCAACACAACGCACTTTGTCTGTGGCTCAATTAAACTACCTGTTGTGATAACAGGTGTTCAGTGGGAATGTCCAAGTTGATCTGTTACATCAGAAGTCATCAACACTCACACAACGCACTTTGTCTGTGGCTCAATTAAACTACCTGTTGTGTTAACAGGTGTTCAGTGGGAACGCACACCCCTACATTCAACAGAAGTCATCAACACTCACACAACGCACTTTGTCTGTGGCTCAATTAAACTTTTATCCTGTAACTACCTGTTGTGTTAACAGGTGTGTGATGCATCGCACACCCCTACATTCAACAGAAGTGATCAACACTCACACAACGCACTTTGTCTGTGGCTCAATTAAACTACCTGTTGTGTTAACAGGTGTTCAGTGGGAATGTCCAAGTTGATCTGTTACATCAGAAGTCATCAACACTCACACAACGCACTTTGTCTGTGGCTCAATTAAACTACCTGTTGTGTTAACAGGTGTTCAGTGGGAATGTCCAAGTTGATCTGTTACATCAGAAGTCATCAACACTCACACAACGCACTTTGTCTGTGGCTCAATTAAACTACCTGTTGTGTTAACAGGTGTTCAGTGGGAATGTCCAAGTTGATCTGTTACATCAGAAGTCATCAACACTCACACAACGCACTTTGTCTGTGGCTCAATTAAACTACCTGTTGTGTTAACAGGTGTTCAGTGGGAATGTCCAAGTTGATCTGTTACATCAGAAGAGATCAACACTCACACAACGCACTTTGTCTGTGGCTCAATTAAACTTTTATCCTGTAACTACCTGTTGTGTTAACAGGTGTGTGATGCATCGCACACCCCTACATTCAACAGAAGTCATCAACACTCACACAACGCACTTTGTCTGTGGCTCAATTAAACTTTTATCCTGTAACTACCTGTTGTGTTAACAGGTGTGTGATACTTCGCACACCCCTACATTCAACAGAAGTCATCAACACTCACACAACGCACTTTGTCTGTGGCTCAATTAAACTTTTATCCTGTAACTACCTGTTGTGTTAACAGGTGTGTGATGCATCGCACACCCCTACATTCAACAGAAGTCATCAACACTCACACAACGCACTTTGTCTGTGGCTCAATTAAACTTTTATCCTGTAACTACCTGTTGTGTTAACAGGTGTGTGATGCATCGCACACCCCTACATTCAACAGAAGTCATCAACACTCAACACAACGCACTTTGTCTGTGGCTCAATTAAACTACCTGTTGTGTTAACAGGTGTTCAGTGGGAATGTCCAAGTTGATCTGTTACATCAGAAGTCATCAACACTCACACAACGCACTTTGTCTGTGGCTCAATTAAACTACCTGTTGTGTTAACAGGTGTTCAGTGGGAATGTCCAAGTTGATCTGTTACATCAGAAGTCATCAACACTCACACAACGCACTTTGTCTGTGGCTCAATTAAACTACCTGTTGTGTTAACAGGTGTTCAGTGGGAATGTCCAAGTTGATCTGTTACATCAGAAGTCATCAACACTCACACAACGCACTTTGTCTGTGGCTCAATTAAACTACCTGTTGTGTTAACAGGTGTTCAGTGGGAATGTCCAAGTTGATCTGTTACATCAGAAGTCATCAACACTCACACAACGCACTTTGTCTGTGGCTCAATTAAACTACCTGTTGTGTTAACAGGTGTTCAGTGGGAATGTCCAAGTTGATCTGTTACATCAGAAGTCATCAACACTCACACAACGCACTTTGTCTGTGGCTCAATTAAACTACCTGTTGTGTTAACAGGTGTTCAGTGGGAATGTCCAAGTTGATCTGTTACATCAGAAGTCATCAACACTCACACAACGCACTTTGTCTGTGGCTCAATTAAACTACCTGTTGTGTTAACAGGTGTTCAGTGGGAATGTCCAAGTTGATCTGTTACATCAGAAGGTAGACTTGCCCACTTACCTCACCTTGTACACACCAGCTCTAGACTGGATCTTACAGTCTTTGGCTCATCAAGCACCTGACAAACTGCTGGATGAAATATTGGCTCGGTGCAAGGATCAGGGAAATAGGTGATTTAGTTTTAATCGTCAAATCTTCATAAATATGCTAAATAAATAATTTATCCAGAATCTTAAATTAAGTCAGTCTTTGAACCTTAAAACTGGCGTTTTTTATTATAATTATTTTTGTATCAAATCAAAATATTCTTTATTTGTTATTTTATTAAGAAACTAGCTGTGTGCCCGTTCTACGCACGGGGATCTTATCATAGTCAGTTAAAATCTTCTTATATAAAGCACAGCAGTTGGTTTGCATACTTTCAGATATGCTGACAAAACTATTCCTTCGCAAATACAGTATCTGACAGTTTCAAGCCAAAACTAATGCTTCGCAATTAAATGTCACCCGGATCTTGTAGGTCCATATGTTATATCCAATGATTAAACTAAATAAACGGTATCAGCATTCTGACACATACTTTCTCCCATAAGTTTGTCAACAACCTTTATCATGTGTAAGCGGTGAGAGTAAATATACGGAAATGGGATTTGTACAATTTTGTTCAGAATTTAAAGGACTATAACATAATGGTAAAATGTATTTAAGATACTACCTCAACCTCTTAATTTAACACTTTATTCGGGTTGACATTTTCATTATCAAGGCGCTCTTGTCCTTTCCGTGAAACATTGAGAAACAAGGACATTAATGCGTTACCATCATACATACACACAAAAATACCGAACTTAATTAGGGAATCTGCTACGCTTTAAGCGTAAAAAGGTACATATAAAATTAGTACTTGAAATCTTTGTTAATGCCATAAAATTTGATCATAACAATTTATATTTGCTTGGACCGGAGATGACTCGAAATTCTGTCGAAATGCTATCTGAATCGGTTTGATATATGAAATGAAGTACAGTAGGCCTACTATAGACGATTTAGATTGGTAATTTGTAATAAAAATTACCAAAATAGGCCACGAACTATTGATACATAAACAACGTTCAAAGTGTTTGAACAATTCATGATGGTTTGCTGAATAAATGTTTTACTAAAATGCGTTATAGTTTTCTTAGCATAACATTTTGGAATCCAGACAGAAAAAGCAAAAATTATACAGTTAAGACATCAATTAAATTGAATAGGCCTACGCCTGTAATAAATAAGGTGCAACACCAACGATAACTAATTTGTAAATTACTGTGACGTGTTGGTACGTAAAAATGATTCTTGCTGCTACTAAAGGTTAAAAGGAAAAGAACCAGTAGACTACCGTACCAAAAACCAACGTTTACAGTTAAGAACTGTAGTACAGCCGACCAATTATATGCGTTAATCAAGGTTATTGATCTCTTGGTTTTGGATTTTCTCGTAAAAAGTTATCGGCAATCAAAGTTATTTCCCATTAATTGCTTTATTTGTACACAACTCTTAATGTAAACTTATCGGTGTCAGTTTGAAAAAAAACCCTTATACAACATAACTTTCTGTTATTTAATAGATTACGTGTTCTCTAAACAATGGTTGCTGGTATATATATTAATTAACATTATAAGGAAATGTGACAAAAATCACACAACGTTGGGTTTTTGGACGTTTATAATTTTATTTCTTAAGTACCTAGGTAGGCCGTGTATTCTATGGAAAAGTACCGGTATCAAGGATCGTTGTCGAAAGGGTTGTTATAAATAATTGGGTAAGCATACGTACCACACGTACCCAAGAGAAGGGCTATGGGCCTATTGGCTGTATGGTCCAGCGATTGCATCACACGGTGAGTAGGAACTATTGACTTTATATAGTCAATGGTAGGAACAGAAAGTGACACATTGGAAAATCGAGTTCAGCATCATCCGTAAACCTCTGTAACAATCACCCACTGCAGTTGTAATTTTTTGCTTTACACTTTACACAACCGCCATTAAAGAGCCGTCAATGAGTGGAACATTGTTTCTAAGCTATTGGCGACGGTCATTAGTAAATTTAAGTATCCCAGCCGTATACAACACTGATTCAATCTTGATTCAATGTCTTCTTTCTGGTTATCAAAACTCCAAAACAATTTTATACACATATTTCTGGTTCCTGACCTGGATGATGCCTAGTTATTTAATTTACGGTTACACTATATTATTCCACTTGCGATTAATTAAATCCTTTATGTAATAAAAACGTTTTTAATCTCACTTGGATGGGATTTGCCTTCAAAACGTGATCGGAAATGGTTGTGGTGTTTGTAAACAACATTTGTAAACATTTCAGTGACAGCTAGAAAAAATAATCTTGATCCGAACAGCTGTTCATTGTTTCACAGATGATTATGTGATACAAATTGGAAGAAAACTTGACAAAAATCGCACAAAACTGCATTTTTGAACGGCCGTAATTTTAATTACAAAGTACTGAGACCATATTTTAATGGCTAAAGACACTCTCGCCAATCCAGTGAATACATTAAAATGACTTGGGTCTTGATAGGTACTCTCGTTTTCCTGGAGAAGATTGCGTAAAATGCCATCTTGAGTGTGTCAGACATACAGACAGACAGACAGACGGACAGAAATTTAGATGAGACTTGTTTCGGCTTCTTTAATGTATAAAACGTAAAAATAACCTAAAAATGTATGATTCTGAGCAATGTACAGACAAAACTCTAATTTTATTTATATAGATTACTATGGTGTCATACAATAATATAACTTAAAACTAGTACATGGATTTTTATGGCTTAGTACATGGATTGACTGTGAAATTGTAAAAAAAAAACAGTGTTTAAGAGGAGACTATGAAAAATTGTTATTTTAATGCAAGTGTTAAACAATATGCTGTGAAATTCAGTGCAGGTCATTGATGTAGATCGGATTTGAGGAATTATTTCAAGAAGTAAGCAGGTCTGTCGTATCAGCCACTTGTGAAGCTGTGTTTTCAGTGGTTTTCCCTTCAGTGACTTCAGTGATGGGAGTAGGCTATTGTGGACTTTGCAGCCAGTGTAGGAAGGTTTTCTGGCGTACTGGGTGGTATGATTTACTGGCAGAATGAAGTTGTTTCCTTGCCTGGTGTTATAAGTGTGAATATTTGTACTTTTTGGCAGATCAGACTCACTCACCAGAAGGATAACTGCTTTTATGTAGAGATTTACAACAATCAGAATACCAAGCGATCTGAAAGCTTCCCTGCAGCTGCCTAAGGGTTGGAGGTTGGCGAGTATACCTATGGCTTTTTCTGCAGCTTCAATATTCTGTTAAGGCTGCTTTCAGTAGTTCCGCCCCAGACAACAAGACCATATTGTAATAGTGACTCCATTAAAGCATGGTACAATGTTTTTGCTGATAATAAATCACCAATCCATGTAATTCTTCTCAACACGTATACACCAGTGCTAAGTTTCTTATAAAGATCATCGATGTAATTGTTCCAGGTAAAGCCAGCATCTAGTGTGATTCCTAATAACTTGAAATTCTGTACAGTTTTCACATCTGTTAGGTCAGATATTTGCTCTGTTTTACGGCTGAAATTGAAGCAAACAGTTTTTGTTCGGTTGAGGGCCAAATCATTTTGTTTGCAGTAGTTATTTGCTCTGGTGAGTGTGGTGAGAGAATCTATGTTCAGTTGCTCTTCACTGTTGTGTGTAAGAGGAGAGTGGTATCGATGATAGTTGCTAACGGAATTACGAGTTGATTTGCACAGTGTTTTACAGCTTTAGCTGGGATCTCATCAATTCCACACGATAGGTTGGGTTTTGAGGTTGCTATAGCGTCTTTTACATCTCTTATGGTTACGGGTTGAAACTGAAATTGGCGTGGGTTGGTATCTATGCAAGGTGAGTAATTTGACTGTTTATTTGTGGTTAGGGTTTTTTCGCCAATCTGAGAGAAGTAGAGGTTGAGATGGTTTGTTATAGTTTTAGGATTTTCTTCCAGTTGTCCGTCTATTTTTAGTTAAAATTTGTGTTCCAGTGACTGTATGGTTTTACGCTCAGAATTTACGATGTTCCACAAGGCTTTGGATTTATTTTGTGATCGAGCAATATGGTTGGTTATGGCTTTTTGTTTAAGATTTCTTAACTTTAGGTCATAATGTTTTTTTCAGGCAGTCATGGTTTTATCAGCAATAGACCTTGATACCTGAAATGCTTTCAGGGAGTTCAGATGATAGTTCTCTTTTAAGTGAATTGCTTGTTCGTCACAGTATGTGTTAGGTTTTGTTTCTTCTGTGTGTAGTGTTTTCTGTTTCTTCTTGCCAGGTCTTCAGCTTCGCTAGCTGAAGTAGCAGGGGCAATGAGCTGTTTTGTGTTGGGAGCTCAAAATTTGGAATCAAATCGAATAGTAAAACTACTATTTGATTCGATTCGTTCTATCTGCGAGTATTCGATTTTTTGAATAGTTCTACGGTGGTCGAATAGTTCGGACCTTTTCGAATACTTCGCATCTGGTCACATAATTAGTTGGAGCTTTGGAAAACATAAAACAAATCAAGTTGGCCAAAAAAGTGTTTCAAGTAATTAATAATAAATTACCATCAGGCTAAAATACGAATAGTAATCAGTTTCTATCGACTATCGAGTGACAACGTTTCATTTTCAACTATTGTGTAATCGTGTCATGAGTTTCCGATGAAATAATGTCCTCCGCCATTAGCCAAATAAACAAGGTCGGTAAAATAGTTCCGTTCTAACTTGGTTTGAAAATAAATAAAAACTGTTAAGCTGCTTAATATTAAATAAAAATGCAATACAATATTTAATTAAAACTCACTTAGATATTTTATTTTATTATTTTTCAACATTATTAAACTCATTATGTGCTGCAAAACACTACGTTAGCATTCATCCGCCTTCATTGTTCTTGGCGATGGCGATCGGGTTCAAGTTACGTTTTGTTCTGGGATCACGGTAGACCTACATAAATCTAGCATACGACATTGATGTGTCTATTTCGAGTGAAGTAAAACTGAAAAAGTGATGGCGAATAAGATATCGGAACTAGATAGATTTGCCGTGATCCCAGAGTAAAACGTAATTCGCACTTCTTGCTATGGAAGTCTGCTTCTACTCTTCTGCTTCTCTAGTTAGTTCTTTTCTTTCTTTTAGCGAATTTCCCTATAGGGAAGTAGCTATTACCGTAGGTGGCACGGTAAGACCTAGACCCGGGACCGATTTACTTTTCCATTTTGATGTCCCCAGAGGCCAAAAACACGATTCGTTCAAATTTTTATATATGTATATATATATATATAGACATATATATATATATATATATATATATATATATATATATATACGTCCGTGAACGCGATAACTTGAGTAATTTTTGTCCGATTTTGATGAAATTTGGTTTAAAGGTGTAAAGCGGGATAAACTTGAATGAGTTCGCGAACCAGCATGATCGGACCATGGGAACGGGGCTTTACGGGGGGTTTTATGGGGTAAAAATTGGTTTTTCTCACTTTTGACCCTCAAAACACAAACTTTCCCAATTTCTCTTTAGACCTTTTTAAAGAGCTTAAAAAAACAAATAATTTAGTATATGAAAGTATTTTTGTTCAATTATTAGTAACGGAGAAAATTTAAAAAATTGTAAATTTAAAATTCCCATGTTATTCTTATGGAGAATATTGTCAAATGTTGTAGTTTGCTTGTTTATGAATATATTTTGATCAAACTTGGCAAATTTATTTATTTTCTACTAAGCTATCAATATTTTACTCAAAAACACACTTTATTAGTTTCCTTGTAGCAGCAAACCTAGGTACTCGTTAAACCTAATGTTATTAAAATATATTTAACTAAAAATCAATTCAGACAAATGGAAATTCGCTTAGTCGGCAGGTTTGCTGCGGCGGGGGTATTTTTCTATTGCATTAGCGCAAGCTGTGTTACAAGACAAGAAGTTTTGAGGTTGGAGTTTAGAGACAGTTTGTTTAGCACGTCTGCGCTAAGTATTTCAGCTAAACTTAGTAAAAATTTTTGTATATTTTGTTGACAACAGTTGCTTTTATACAGTTGGATATTGCCTAAAAGTTGGAGGCTTAGGCTTCATTTAAGTTTGGTTGAATGACACAAAATGGATTCAGATGAAGAAGCCGATTTAGGCCTAAATGTGTTTTTAACATCATCACAAGAATTAACAAATAAGTAAAAAAGTTTAATTTGGGATTTTTTCGTAAAAAAGGACTCTGTTGCAGAATGCAACACGTGTAAAAAGTCCTTAAAAGTAGGTTAAAAGTTAATAATTATACATTTATGTACCTAACTTAATAAAATCATTCTAAAAATGCTTAAGTTTAAGTTAGCCTACATTTAGGCTAAAAAGGGCTTTATTATTTCAATTGAAGATTTAAACTAGGTACTGTAAATGGTTAAAAATAGGGCCTAGGTTCTTGTACCTTCAAACCTAGTTGTCCAGTAGCCTAAGCCCAAGTCATGAGATTAGGCTATGTTAAGTTATGACAACAAGTTTTATTTTAGGCATACCTTTTTAAAGTTTATGTTCTTAAACATATACTTAGGGGTGACAGTAAGTTGTAGGCCTAAATCCCTACTTAGTAAAAGAAAACAATGTGCGTTTTTATGTGGTTATAATGATTATCACTTCACTACCCAATTGGTTGAAAGTGTTTTACAAAATTTGTTATTGGTAGTGCTTTATAATTTTGACTAATAAAACTTGGTTCAGGTTTATACCTTTACTTATTATCTAAGTTCAGTTACCTATTGAATTAAACTAGGCCTAAATTAAATAAACAAAAGATACATTTACAACTACACTTAACTTATTCTGAAAAAAATATACCAACAGTTTTAGTAATTAAGTTATTGAGAGTTGACTTGACATTCATTTTAAGTTTTCATTATTTGAGGGTTAAAAGTTAACTTAGTATTCGGTTAAAAAATGTTCACTATTCGAGGGAAAGTATTCGATTCGAAAACATTCAAATTCGATTTGAAATCCTCTCTATTCGATTCGTATTCGATTCGAAAAGAAAAAGTAGTATTCGCACACCCCTAGTTATTTGATTTAATAAAGATTCCTTCTCATGTTCTAGTTCTTAGATTTTTGCTTCATAACTCATTTCAAGACAATTGTTATTGTTGAAAACCTGATGGGTTAGTTTAGTATTTTCTATAGTTAAATCATGTAGGTCTTGTTTTAATTTATTGTTTACTGAAAGTAGGACATTACCAACTTCGGCAGCTAAAGTTAGGGATGTTTCTAAGTCTTCCTGTTCTTGAGCTTGAAATTGTTTTATTTTTGCTTGAAGGTCTTCTGAGCTGGTATTGACTTGACATTCAGAGGTTGTTTCAATCTTTTGATCAATTAAGGGGGTTGTGCATGTAGGCAGAAAAGGGATTGAGTCCCTTTGAAGTTGACATTCTTTGCAGCTCCATGATTTGTAACCAGCTTTAAAGTAACCACACTGAAACAAACTATTGCTGAGTACTTGAATCCAAGGTCACATGCACCACACAGAGTCTTAGACATGGTTTGATTTTTTTAATGGATGCAATGAAGTTCACAGTTATCAGAGTTTGCTTTTTATGAAAGCAAGAAGCAGAAAATGATGTGTAATAAAAATTGGACAGTTTTTAGGCAAGCTTTGGCTGGCTGCTCCTGTTGAAAATTTAAAATATTGTGTAATCAGTTTTTTAGGCAAACTTTGGCTGGTTGCTTCCGTTGAAAATTAAAATATTGTGTGATAAAAATTTAAAGAGAAATTTTAATATTGTATCTATAATATAGACAATAAAATAAGTGATGCATAGTGTAAAAAGTTGATTGAATTTTGATGAATTGAAAACCACATGGAAGAAAATTTTATACTTATACTCTTATAAAGATCAGGGGTCATGGTGCCAGAAGGCCGTTCCGGCATTAGTTTTGGACGGAAGTGGAAATTTAATAAAACTGTTATAACAAATTTAATTGTAAATAAAGAAATCTTTTTCCGTACAAAAAAAAGTTGTGCAAAAAAAGAACTAAAAATAGTGTTATGTAGTTTATGTAATAAAAATGTAGTTACCTTAGGCCTAAGAATGAATATAACATAATTGTTGCCAAAACCTGGCAAACTACACTACTTCAACATGGTCGTCATTCTACGCAAGACACGGTTAAGAAAACACAGGACAGCTGATACACAAGAACACGTCGGGCCAAACCCAAACTGAAACAATCTGAAGAAGAATAAAATCCATTTGTTTAGTTTATTCAAAAAAAGGTTTAAAGAAAAGTAGTTTAAGTATCAGCAAGACTATTTAGACCGCCATTTCAAGAACTATAATATGAAATAAAGCCTTTATACATACAACAAATATTTGTAAAGCAGTGGTTTTTATTTGTTAAACAGCATTAGGCTTTGGTTATTTTTTATCCTAATCTCAAATACCCTACAAATGAAACAATAGTTTTAGGTAAGAAATAAGAAATAACTTCTGATGAGTATGTCTGTATTATTTCTGCAGTATTTCAATATACTAAATATATAAGATATGTTTATATGCTACACAAGTTAGCAGACAGCATGATAAATAACCTCAAAAAGCTTGTCAAAAGGTAAAAACGCTGAATTCGGTAATTTTACAATATAACATAAACAACTCTGCTACGTGTAGTTAAGGGGGGGGGGGCTATAGGCTATACATTTCTAAGCCAAGTGCAGCGGAACGGAACGTCACTGCAAAAATTACCATGACACAACTGATAAAGATGTATATTCACTTGTAATATATTAGAAATATTTTAAGGTTTTAAATGTTTTTATTCAACCTGTAGTCATATTATATTATGCATTTTTAGCTCATTGCTGCTCAACTCCATAATGTCAGCCTTTAAGCCTGCCTATATCGCATCACGAGCCAGCCTTTTTGTGCAGCTTATAGCTGTCTGTGATGAGCAAGGTAATGCTATTTCCTAACACTTAAATTTATTCCTCATTGATTTAGTATAGGTTTCATTACATAACCTACTTGTTTTGTGTGAATCCTATCCTACATTGTTTATCAGTTTAAGCAGTCTACTCTTATAAAAAAAAAAAAATTAAAATACTATTACGTGACCTAGTACAAAATACAAAGAGCCGCTGTTACACTAATGAAAATACTGTAACTTAATGGTTTACCTAATTTTTTTATAGATCCGCTCAAAGTGTAAGATAAAAATTTAAAATAGTAAACACATCTCTGTATTCTAAGGCTCAATACAAAAACATACTAGCACGGTCTTAGATTCTTACTTATTTCCGTAATCGATCGCACCATTGTGAAAATCTATATTGTTAATAGACAAGCCGGATTCTTGAAAACCTTTTTTCTCAGCTTGTGTGCATTGCAGGGAAAATCTATGCATACTGTTAGAAAGATTTTTTTTTGTAAATATGCAGAATCCCTTTATAAATTCAAATAGCTTTAAAAATAAGCACAAAAAATTAATTTAAAATATAGTAGTTGTATTTAATAAATAGATGGCACTTCTTGGTCAAGATTCGAATACTAACCGAATGGATTTTCAAAAAGAGATGGAGCAAGTTATTTAAGTAATATTAACTCGTATCAAGTGCCGGAAATATTGTATGCAGTAAACTGTTGTAGTTTGCTTGTTTGTTTATAGAATTATTAAACTTGGAAAATTAGTTTATTTTATACTAAGTTATTGATATTTTACAAAAAAAAAACCCACTACATTATATTACCCTTATTGTGCTAACGGACACACATATATATGTACATATATATATATATATATATATATATGAATTTGAACGGATGGTGTTTTTGGCCTCTAGGGACCTCAAAACGAAAAAGTAAATCGGTCCCTGGTCCAGGTCTTACCATGAGTACTACGGTAATAGCTTATTCCCTATATGGGAAATTAGCTAAAAGTGTTAACCTTAGCCAAACAGCCCGAGAGTTAAAATGTAAAACTTTGTATGAAAAAGTTAGGAAATTATAAAACATTCAGGTCAAAATTGAAGTACGAGGCATGTTTTTTTAGGAAGTACCGTTTTTAAATTTTTCCGTTGCAGCGCTGCGATTGGCATTTTGGACACTTTCGCTGTATATGTGCATCTATTGGCAAGCCCTAGCCGGAAATTCGACAACAATCGGCCGTGTTTACATCCGGTATCGAGCATTCAAAATGGTGCCGCCAATTGAGACTGCCGCCAACTGTGAAGTGCGCGCTGTAATTAGATTTTTAAGTGCTAAAGGTTTGAAAGCCATTGAAATTTATCAACAGATTAGTGAGGTGTATGGCGAGAACATTTATGAGTGATGGAATGGTACGCAGGTGGGTAAGGGCATCTAAAGACGGCCCCACCAACGTCCATCATGAGCAACGCACTGGGCAGCGTCACTGTCCCCAGTACTCAGTGCGTTGCTCATCATGAACGTTGGTGGGGCCGTCTTTAGATGCCCTTACCCACTTGTGTACCATTCCGTCACTCATAAATGTTCTCGCCATACACCTCACTAATCTGTTGACAAATTTCAATGGCTTTCACACCTTTAGAACATAAAAATCTAATTACAGTGCACACTTCACAGTCGGCGGCAGTCTCAATTGGCGGCACCATTTTGAATGCTCGATACCGGATGTAAACACGGCCGATTGTTGTCGAATTTCCGGCTAGGGCTTGCCAATAGATGCACATATACAGCGCAAATGTCCAAAATACCAATCGCAGCGCTGGAACGGAGAAGTTTAAAAACGGTACTTACTTAAAAAACATGCCTCGTATTTTTAAAAGCGATATTACAAAACAAAAATTAACTAAGTCAATTAATTAAGTCAAACAATGTAAATAGAACCTCTTAGTCTATTTTAAATTCAGAAGTGGGAATAGAATCTAAGAATTTACAAAACATTAATTTAAAAGTAGGTAATAAGTTGAATTCCGACCCTGTATTTATTTGTAACAGTTTTATCAAAAATTTTTCAAATGTAACTAGTATAATGTATAATTTTGAACCGATGTCAGAGAATCAGGTAGACAATACAATATTTCAGTATAGTAAAAGGTTTAGATTCAGCTTTGTTAATGAGAATGAAATAGATAGAATTATTAATAGTCTTAATAATATAAAACTCTTTTAGTATGGGCTATGATGAGGTTCCTGTGGTTCTTCAGAAAAAAAAGTCATGATATTTTTACTAAAACCAATCACTCACCTAGTTAATTCTTCTTCAAAATCCGGTATATTTCCTGATAAGCTCAAAATTACAAAATTAAAACCACTTATTAAAAAGGGAGACTGGCAAATGTGGTCAAATTATCGACCTATAGCTTTGTTACCCTCTATATCTAAGATTAATGAAAAAGTAATTTACATTAATCTAGAGGTTAAAATACCTTTAATCAGTCAATGTGATCAAATGTCACTGATGAGCGGCGACCGGTTTCAGCCCAGCTCTGGGGCCATCTTCAGGCGACGGAAGGAACATAGATATCACTCCGAAGAGGTTGTCATAAAGTCTATAAATACGTCACAAGAAACAACACATAAATACATTATTTACAAATACACGTGTGGCCACAAATAACTGCGCGGCGGACTGTACGTGTACATTAAGTTGCTAGTCCAGACTGTCGTCACTGCCGTCTTGTCCATCTGCCATCCCCCCCCTCCTCCAGTTCTTATCAGGTCCTTTGTGTGTTGTTACTATTCTTTCAATGCTGACTGCTGTTTCATATAAAAAATTACTTTAAAAAAAATAGCTCCGACTGAGTGAATAAAATTGCCAATATACAGTTGAAAGACAATTACTTGCTAGCTTCCTTTGATGTGGTCAATTAATACACAAACATCCCGATTGATGAAACATAGAAAATATTGAAAGAAAACCTATGTAATAACTCTTCTCTCAACATTGCCACGATTGACGAACTAATTAATCTCACCAGAACTGTACTCAAACAGAACTATTTTAAATTTGAAGACGACATATTTTCACAAAACGACGGACTAGCCATGGGTTCGCCCTTATTTAGTATCCTTGCCGAGATTTTCTTAAACCATGTTGAGAATAAATATCTATGGTCAGATAATAACAGACTAAAGAACAAAATCATGTTTTATCACCGCTATGTTGATGATTCGATAGTCCTGTTTGATGGGACAAAAAGACAACTAAAAATGCTTGGCTCATTCCTTAACACAGGGTGTCTACCAACCGGGAAATCCGGGAAAACCGGGAATTGTACTTAAATTTTTACTGGCCATGAAATGTACGGGAATTGTCCTTAAATGCTAGACTATGTCCTTAAATTTTTAATGGGCCATAATTTTATTGATCGCTAGTTGGTTGGGAGCACATAAAAGGTTTATCAGATGTTTGTTTACATTTTCATAATTTATTACTAGAGTAATTATGCAATAAAAATCCCATTAACAATCTCAAACCCATAAATATTTTATCACGACAATCAAGTGTCAAGTTAAGTACTTCCAAGAACTGTTGACTCAGCAGCTAGCTCATAAAAGTTGTATCACTTTAATTCCTTTACAACTTCTTTTTTTATTACTAGGGTAATTATTATTAGATCCCAAACATATTTTAACGTGAAAATAATAGCTTTTTAATGGCTGTTAAATTTCACTTCTTACTCGTACTTTCGGCAAGCCGCGGCGATTGCCTAGTGCCATAAAACTGTTTATGGTTTCATATTAAACATGTAAATAATCTACAGTCTTATTTTGTAAGAAGTCAAATTTAAACTTGCGAGGAAAAAAAAAATTTTTAGCAAAATTTCATAAATTTCTATAACATAAAAAATCTTTTTTACAATAACTATAAAGTGTATTTGTTTAAAAATGCATGAGATTTTAGGTAATAGTATACAGAACAACCTCTGAAAATTTCAGTATCCTAGGTGAATTCGTTTTTGAGATTTATCAATTTATGTCTTTGAAAACATGGAAATTTCTAACTTGCGGCAAACAGCCGTCGAAGTGTAAGCTACGTTGCTAGATTAGAATGCATTTGATTTCACACTTTAGAATAAGTAAACCATAGAACACCAAAAGGAATAAAATCAACTAATGTCATTGTATATAGAATATAATAATAATGATTTGTCATTATTACTAAAATAAGCAATAAAATAAATGTATATAAATAAAAATGTATGATATAAAAATTAAAAAATACATATCAAATTTACCAAAACCCAGCGCGACGCTCAACAAAGTTGTACTGTCCGAATAAATATTTTTTTTCGCCATGAAAATAAATAATAAATACATAAAACCATATATTTTCTTGTTCAGAAAAAAACAAAGAATTTAATTATGTAAAAAAAATTTTTTTGTCAAATTTTGTCATTCAAGGGTGTAGAACCCCCTTAACCCCTTTTTTATGGACATTTTATCTTTCAATTGACAAAACCACAAGCATTGTTGTTTGCATTAATGTTTTATCACTATGTAGGCCTGCTTGGTTTCAAATTATGTCATTGCATTTTCTGTATCTTTGTCTTATATTGTTGGCTATTCAGGTTTCAATGTTTTTTGTTTCCCATATATTTATTTATTGAGTTGTATGCTTTAAGCAATCAATATCTTATGAACTAGAATGATGATAGTGACTTTGCTGCTATTATAACCTCATTGTTTGTTACTCAGTTTATATAGGCCCTCCTAAATAATTAGGTCTAGGCCTGGGTATTTTGATTCTTGAAAGAGCTGTAAAATATATTAAGAAAATGTAATTGAGCCTAAGATAAACAACTAATGATTGCTATGTGTTGATATTAACTTTGCAAATGAAAATACAATAATCTTACTCTGTGCTTATTGCTTATTAATAGCCGCTTACCAAACCTTGAAGAATTGAGTAACAATATGCATTAAAGATTTTTTTTCAAAAGTAGTCGAGAACCTAACGTTGTGCCAGGGCGAAT